AAAACACTTTTAGTCAAAACATGAGGAAATAAAAGTACAATACTCAAAAAACTGGGTCACCAACCTAGGACCATGAGATTTATATAGTAAGTTATTATTTTTATCTTATTATAGTATATGGTTTTTCCTCATTTTTACTGCTGCAACTTTGCACTGTCCATTTTCTGGTGTAACACAACAAATTTCCCATGTGTGGGACTAATAAAAGTGTATCTCTTATCTATCTTTTCCATCTCCTTCTCAGGCTTGGCCTTCACATTGGGCAGAACCCTGATCTGTTGCCTAGGGTATAGTGCCATCGACTCTAGGGGTGTCTAAAAGTGTTATACTGTACATAACTGAGTGAAGAGAGAGCCTCGATGTGAAAGCAAATGTATGGTTTCTTTAATTTTTTTAAGCCCCTAAATTAATCTATGTCTCTCTGAATCGCAACTGCATTTACAGAGAATGATGGAACACTTCATTACCGAAATCCTACAGAGTATGGTTACTGTACAGCTCAATTTGACTCCTCACAATGAACGTAATCTAAAACACACCAATGAATGGATGAAAAAGCTCTAAAACAGAAAAGTTACATTTACATGGCATTACTGGACATTGAGAAGATCCAAATGTATCTCACCTGAACAGATCACACCAGCATCTTCACCGTGTTTACAGGTATTTACTCCAAATCCACCGTGTTGACACTCAGTTAAAGAACCTTCTTTTCCTGAACAGGCCACATCATCAAGCCAAATCTGTCCAGTTCCTGCACCAAAGTGAGCTGATCGAGGAGCCTCTAGTGCCATCCCACAGTTTAACTCTCTGCAGACAACTTCAGCATCATTTAGGTCCCAGCCATTATCACAGACTGTTCCCCAGATTTTATTGTGAAAAATTTCTACTCTGCCAGAACATCGAGTCGATCCAGCTAATCTGATTGGACCTTTTGAGCATAAGTCACAAAAGAAACCATCATTTTGATATATGTGCCTTACACGTGCCTTGTTTTTTTTTTTTTTAATGTATGACACTGAACAGACTATGAAGCAAATTGTTACATATCTAAAAGTGTTCTCATTTTGTCACCTGAACAGATTACACCAACATCGTAGTAATGTCCAGAGTAGTAGTTTCCCCATCCAGAGTGTTCACATTCAGTTAAAGAACTTTCATTTCCCGAACAGGTCACATCACTGAGCCAAATCTGTCCAGTTCCTTCACCAAAGTATGCAAGTTGAAGAGCATCTACTGCCGATCCACAGTTTATCTGTCTGCAAACCACATCAGCATCATTTAGGTCCCAGTTATAATCAGAGACTGTTCCCCAGATATATTTATGATAAATTTCTACTCTGCCAGAGCATCGAGTCGATCCAGAGCCAGCCAATCTGATCAGATCTATTAAACATAGGGCATAAAAATGTTTTGATATGTTCTTTACATTATATAGGAATGATTTTATATATGACACACAAGAACAGAATGACTTATGATGTTATCAATATCTAACAGTTTTATTACCTGAACAGATGACACCAGCATCCTGACCTTGTCCACAGCTGTGTGATCCAAATCCACTGTGTTTACATTCAGTTAGAGAACTTTCAGTACCTGAACAGGCCACATTATCAAGCCAAATCCGTCCAGTTCCTGCACCAAAGTGAGCTGAATGAGGAACTTCCAGTGCCGTCCCACAGTTTAATTGTCCGCAAACCACCTCTGCATCATTTAAGTCCCAGCCACCATCAGAGACTCTTCCCCAGATGTTATTGTGATAAATTTCTACTCTGCCAGAGCATCGAGTTGATCCAGACCCAGCTAACCTGATAAGATCTATCAGACAAAGGGCATAACCATTATTTTATATGTTCATTACATTTTATAGGAGAGATTTCATTTGTGGCACACAAGAACAGAATGACTTATAATGTCTTCATTATCTAAATGTTTTCTCACTTGAACAGATCACACCAGCACTCCGATCATATCCACATTTGTGTCTTCCAAATTCACTGTGTTGACACTCATTTAGAGAACTTTCGTTTCCTGAACAGTTGACATTATCAAGCCAAATCTTTTCAGTTTCTGCATGAAAGTGAGCTGATCGAGGAGCTTCTAGTGCCGTCCCACAGTTTAATTGTCTGCAAACCACCTCTGCATCATTTAAGTCCCAGTTATAATCAGAAACTGACACCCAGTTATTATTGTGATAAATTTCTACTCTTCCAGAGCATCGAGTCGATCCAGATCCAGTTAAAATGATTTTGGCTCCATCTAAAAAAACAAGAACAAAGAACATAAAAGAAATGTGGTGGATACAACATACCATGCTTTTCATACTGAAGCATAGTTGCCCACACAGAAGTAAGAACCATAAGACACAAAACATAAAAAAAAACGAAGAAAGCTTTCTCAAAGAAATGTTATTACACATTATTGATAAGCGTATACATTGTTGCATTATTTTTATGAAAAATATTGTACTGCTGATGGGAGAGCTGGGTTAGAGAATAAAAAAAGTAAAAAATAATGCTTGAAAATTACTCACAACTTAAAATTATTTACAGTAGGCTATAACACTACTAAAAATTTCTGCTCAAAAACGTATACTTTTTTTTGTTAAAACTCATTGCATCTTAGTGCTTAGTGTTAAAATTGCATGCTAATCTCAGGAAAATTACATAACACATGCATTGTAAATTTAGGAGTTATTGCATACTGAGTCACTGGCTCTATTATAGAATGCAACCGATTATGGTATTTAGTATTTTTCTCTTGTTGCTGTAGAGCTGACATCCGGAAACGTGTTCCAAAAAAAACATGAAAGTTAACGAAGACAGAGCTTTTGTTTGCTCACCGGGCAGCTTTGAAGCACAACCTGAAAAGCAGAAATGAAAGACAAAAAAAAGTTTAGTTCAGATAAAGACATATCTTCATATCACACATGGTTATTTGGGCAGGACCTCTTAAAGTTGTATTGTTATGCATTGTGTACCCCAAGCATCTATTTAAAAGGGGTTAATACATTAACATACACACCCCACTTTTCAGTTATTTATTTGTAAAAAATGTTTTGAATCATGTATGATTTTTGTTCCACTTCTCACGTGTACACCTCTTTGTGTTGGTCTTTCACTTGGGATTCCAATAAAATTGATTCATGTTTGTGGCTGTAATGTGACAAAATGTGGAAAAGTTCAAGGGGGGCGAATACTTTTGCAAGCCACTGTAATAACTTTTGATGTTACAAAGCAGTATTTATAAAGAGAAAAGGCTCTCTTTATTTTAAAAAGGTAATTTCAAAAGAACTTGTATCACCACCTCCAGGTTCACTGTTCTAACACATATGCCACAACTATCACATCCTTGTTTTCGCTTCAGCCACTGCCCCAGTTGTGTTCTGCATGGCCTGTCGGTACCTATCAATTGCTTCTGTAGTCCCACAAGCTAATCAAGCCCCATAGGACTCCTTCTTCAGTCTAGTGACTCCCTTCACCTCTGGTGTCCACCATTTGGTTCGGGTATAACCACCACAACAGGCACCAACCACCTTGTGGTTGCAGCTCAGTGCTGCAACTTCGACAATGGAGGTGCTGAACATTGAGTCCATTCTCACTTTTTTTTCTCATCACCTTGAGGCTGAGTGTACCACACCCTCTACTTTGAGGCAATTGCAAAATGATCACTGCATTATTTGACATCTTGATTCACCACAGTAATTTTGAAGGTGTCAACTGATCTCAGGTGGTCACAAGCTTGGTCTCAGTCATTGAAACAGATATATAGATGACAGACAATTTGCAAGCTCATTGGACATGGTCATGGTAATTTTGGTTGTTCTGTGATGTTTTCCCTAGCACAAGTTATTGCAGTGTATTAGGGCAGCATTAATGCTGATTAATAACGCTGACAGCCCTAATACACTACATAAAGAGCATCAGTCTATTTTTCTTGGTGACACATAGTTTGGGTTTTTTTCGGGTCAGGTTACCAAGAGGCCATTTTCAATTGCAGGGTGCACTTCTACAAACAGATTGCATAGTCTAGTATGAGTTATTGTGATGTTTTAGCTATAGATGCAAGCCAATACTAACCAGTTTAGGTCACTTGGTTTTGAGCTTGTGGTTTAAAATGTTATTTTAAGGCTCTTCTTTGTTACATTTAAATAAATATGTTCCTGTTGCTATAGTTCCTTATGATTCTTACATTTAAAAACATATTTTTTTTTTACATAGTTGTGACGTCGTAAGATTCTTTCTGAGGAACATTATGGAATGTTTTTCAAGAGACGCACTTTAAACAGATGACTCATAAACTACAATAGTAGTTTTAAAACTACAGTTCATTTTTCATTGTTAGTTTTGAATAAAGCTATTATTTTAGCTTATTGCTTGGATTGAAAAGAAAATGTATAGTACATACAGTGAGATCAACCTTAACTTAGTTTTATTTATTGAACACTAAATTGTTTGTGTGTATGTGTTTATATATGTACATACAGTAATTAGTTAGAAATTAAAATATACTTAGCATAAAATAATCTTTTCAATCTAACAAATGGTAGTCAAATACAATTAGCATTAAAAAAAACCTTTACATTTTACATAACCATTTAATTTCCAATAAACAGATGGTTTCTATAGATATTTGACAGGAGTAAAAGGCATAAGAACAACATAAAAAATCATGTTCATGTTACAAAAAAATTGTGAGCAGTAATAACATAAAACACTAAGGTTGACGATATACAAATTAATTGCATGTAACTGATATACACATTTTTGCAATGTTCATCTAGCAGGTTATTTTTTTTTTCAGTGTATTTGCTCAAGTATTACTGAGAGTGATCATTGTCAACATGAACACTGCAAAAAATAACCTGCACAGCTAGTCCGTTTTAAACTGAAATTTTAACCTTGTATATAAAACCTTTAAGGAAAGAAAGACTGGCTGAACAGAGTCAAACACAATGATACTTACAGAAGTCTCCAGGCTTGTGAAATGCAGATTTTAATGAGTGATTGAGTTTAATTCATTTGGTTTGTTAATATTATAACATTGGATACTTATGACAACAATACAGTATCGGAATAAATATTATACTATATAATATACTTTACTATACTGTGTAGTTTACATTTGTGCCTCTAATTATTCTTTTACATCTGCTCCAGAAACAAACTATGTAATGAGAAAAACCAATCTTTTTTTCTCACCTTTGAAAAAGAGTACGATCATCACACTGAACAAGCACACAAGCTGTTGGAGCTCCATTGCTAACAACTACAGTCATTGTCTTAGACTTTAAAAGACAAAAGAATATGCTCAGCTTCTGTGATCACGTTTTACCGTAATCAACGCCTACACTTTGTGTAGTTGATGAGGTATTTAATCAAAGATAAAACCAGAAGAACCAGATGTCATACTTTGTCTGAATGCAGTGAAGGAATGCATTTACATGTCTAGACAACTGAGAAACAGTTGGAAGGTAACCTGGTAAGCTATGATTGAGATTAAGAAGTCTTAAGAATAAGATTTAATTAACTTTTTATTACTATCTTTGTTCTGGTTGGCTATGGTAGTGGTTTTTGTTGTTATCATTCAGGTCTGCTTCTTATTCATTGGTAACTTTAAAGTCAAAGAATAGTTAAGTTTCCAGGACTTCCGTGAGTTTCCCCCTACATCTAAATTTAGCCTCTTGCTTCCGATCTACTGGTGTATTTGTGGGCTGGCTGTTCCCGCCCTGCCTCCAGGCAGAGCTTCTGTTTTCTTAAGGCTGTAGCTGTCACACTTCTTTCCTGAGCTACAAACAACCTTCAGGTTGAAGCTTAAATCAGTTTTTTGGCAAAGTGACTTTTATTATATATCCTTTATTAATCTTTTATAAAAAGCATCATTGACATTAATTTTTTAAGAGAGCTCTGACAATGAGGGGATCAGAAATTGCAACAAATTTAAATTATCTGTGAAGGTTCTCAGTCATCCAAGTCATTGTAATCTAAGGAGATCGGAAAGAAAAGCGTCTGGACTTCTTTAAGTTGCTTGAAGACGTTTCACCTCTCATCTGAGAAGCTTCTTCAGTTCTAAGGTCAAATGGTGGAGAGTCCAAGATTTAAGCCCTATGGGAGTGTCCCCCAAGAGGGACATGGGCCCCCTAATGATCCTCTACTTAATCACATGAGCCAAGGTGTGAAAACGGCTGTAGGTCACAATCAGTCAAATTTTTGGTTGAACTCATAGTGATGTAATTCCTGTCATGTAATTTCCAGAGGTCAAATTGCTCAGGAAGTGAGTGGGCGTTAAATGGCTTCTTTTACTCCTCTTTCAAACCATCTGTCTTCTCTGTCCAAAATGTGAATATTTTAATCCTCAAAAGATTGACCTTTGTCCTTGCAGATGGACAGCTGAGTCTTGTCTCATGGAAGTGGCTCTTCTATGTTGTGCCTTGCGTTTATGAAGTGGTTGTTTGATCTTTCCATTATAGAGGACTTAGCATTCCTACAGCATTGTTAAGTTTGTGTTTAGGAGTTCTGTGACTGAACTAAACACTCCTAAATAAATTTAACAACAACGTATGTCCTTCCATTTTTTATTGCAATTTACACATATGCACTCCTTTGTTACTTTACAGTATTAATACTGTGTACATACTTTTTCCAAACATATCTCACATATTCTTAATATGTGTTCTGTTATCAGATAGAAAAAGAGAATTAACACATTCCACTCTCATAGACAATAGCCTTGTCTGATAGCCAATTTTCTTGTGAAACTTGCTTCAAAATGAATTCTAAAAGCATAAATCTCAAATGTTCCAAAAGAATGGTGTAATCAGCACCAAATTGATATGTGCACTGAATTTAAGTAAACACTTTTTGGCTAAAATCACGCGACTGAAACTACGTAGAAAAACAAAATAACACAGACGAACTGACAAGGAACACAGGCAGGCACACAGTATAAATACAAACAAGGTAACAAGGGAATGACACACTAGAGGGGAACACAGCTGGACCTAATTAGACACGACGAGACACAGAACTTCAAAGTAAAACAGGAAGCTCACAAACTGTTTTACAAACACAAACTCAGAGACACAGACAGAGCACAGGAGAACACCGGTAGGAATAATAGAAACTAGAAGAAACTAGAAAATCATGACAATAAACTCAGAAACGCTGGGTCAGCGACCCAGGACCATGACAGTCTCATCCATCCAACTAGGGGGCGGGGTTCGAACTGCCACTCCAGCTTGACTAACATCTGATTCATCACTGTGCAAAGTAAGTCAAGACAGGTCGATCCTAGATAATTGATTGCTATGAACTGGTGAACTATGAACTATTTGTGTGCAAATAAGTATAACTACATATATAGTAAACAAACAGCTTCACTCTGCCATTGTCATGTTAAATCTATTAATTGTTTCTCTTACATCAGTGAGAACCATTTCATATCTGTGGTTTCCTTTGACTTCTCTATCATGAAGCAAAACTCTAAGTTAACCATTACTTTAATAACATCAGTGTGGATGTGAGTTGCTAACCCTTCATGACCTATTTAGTATTTGATTAAACAGGTGGTTTCATGAAGGACCCTGGTTTACTGCTTCCAGTAAAGTGGTACCTCCCAGCCTCATAGTAGATGCACCTGTGGTATGAATTTCAAAATCCTATGTTGTGTCGTTCTAAAGTTATTGCATTCACAAATGTGTGTGTCCACACACCCAATGGGTTGCCTACAATACTCCAGCCAAGTCAAACACACAAGCAAAAACGTATTTATATATCTATATATATATCTATATATCTATCTATATATATCTATCTATCTATCTATCTATCTATCTATCTATATATATATATAT